TCTAATATATATATATTTTTTTAAATTATAATTAATAATTAAATTAAATATTTCATTAACATTATGTAACATATTTTAATTATCTATAAAATAAAATAAACATAACTTTAAGTTTGAGTAAATTACAAATTTTGTCCCTATATAGTTATTTGAAATTATGGATATCGTCTCCCAAACAAAATAATTACATGCATCATCATTGTGGTTTCAATATTCTTATGGATTGGGTTCCTTCCTTTTAACTCTGTTAACTTTACTCCAGTTGAGTCAAGGACATTTTTGTCTTTTCACCAATTAATTTTATTTTCTTGGAAAAAATAAAAAATTATATAACTTGTATTATGTGATATAATATATATATATATATATATATATATATACACACATATAAATACCAACACACTAAACCTTACAGAATATACACTCATCGACCACCTCCGGTCTCCTCCATCGTTTCCGGTCACCTCCACCCCACCACATCATCGTCCTGCTCCGGTCTCTTCCACTGTTTCAGGTCACCTCCACCCCACCACATCACTATCTTCCTCAGGACTCCTCCATCGTTTTCGGTCACCTCCATCCTCACCATATCACCGTCCTCCTTCGGTCTCCTTCCTCCCAGCATATCTCCGTTCTCCTTATCCGGTCTCTCTCCCCCACCGGCCATCTCCCCTTTTCTGTCGGCTTTATCTTCCCGCACAGCACCATATCGATGACCCAGAAAACCCATCGATGGGGACATTGTCGGTGAGTTATCCCCTTGGCCCTTTCCCGAGACTCCCACCCCTCCAAACAGTTTGGTCGCTACCTTCAATGCAGAATCAAAACAAAATGTTAAACCACATACGATACTAAATCTTTCTTTAGATGAATAAAACTTGAAAAATCTTTCTTTAGATGAATAAAACTTGAAAAATCTTTCTCAGATGCATAAAACTTCAAAACCTTTGCTCGAATTAGACTTGCTAAATTTGGAGGGTTTTGAGGTATTTCACTACGATTAACCACAAACTTCCCCACCCTTTTTGATAGCTAAATTCTCTTTAAACTTTATAGATTTTGAGTGAACACACCTGGGATCAGATTTGAAACCATCAGGTACAAGAAACCATCAATCTCTTCTTCAGTTAAGCAATAATTTAAGGTTAATTTTGAATAATGCAACTAAAATGAAGGGGGAGGGGGGGTGATAAGAAAGAACTGACCTTATAACTGTATTTTCTGAGAAGACATTGATAATCTGACAAGTGGAATCAACAGTTTCAACCAAAAGATTGGGTAAGAACTTCTCAAATGAAGGGATTTGGCCGGTGAGAGGACGATGTTGAGTGGGTGAAATATATATATATATATATATATATATATATATATATAGACTTGGGATCATGTGAGACCAATGGTTTTTCGTGAGACCCGTAAGACCAATTCTCAACCCTTGGATTAGATTTATAATCGTCAGATCTGAACATTTATAAACGCCACGAGACTTCTCACTAATTACGAAATTGCCACCTTGCAACTTTGCAACAATTAGATCATTAATTCATAAATTTGATCAATGAACATAAATTGGTCTTACGGGTCTCAC